GTATATTATTTTAAAAATTTAAATTTTTACTAATAAAAAGATGCTTTACACGATGGTAATGATGAAAAAAAAATTTACTCGTAGGGTTTTTCTTAGATTACTTCGATTTACTTCGAACTTCTTCGAATACTGTTCGAAGAAAAGTTTGCCAATATTTAAATTCAAATTGCATATCATTCTAAAGAGCAAGACCATCCCTTTAGAATGGTCTTTATTCAGTAATAATTTTTTAAAGTTAAAGTATTTTAAATTCATTTAAATTAGAAAAAAATTATTTAGTTCAGTGTGTGGACTTTTTGAATTTTTTTTTAGTGCATTTGATTCGTCTCACTGAAACGAACAAAATGATATAAAATTTGTCAAGTTGTCACAACATGAGTTTGTTTTTGTCGCTCTCTGTAATTAAATGTCTAAAGGCAAAATAGCACTTTTCTCAATAAACTTTTTGTAAATTTTTGTAAATAGTTTTTTAAACTTGCCGCGCAGGTATCGTGTACAATCTTGAAAGTGACAGAAAAAAGATGAATTTATCCTCACCCCACCCCATCCGAGCGCCCTGGCCAGATCATTTCCTGTTCCAAGAGGAAGAACACCGACTGCCGGAGCAGGAGAGATTCCGATTTGGTCGATAACACTTAAAACCCAACCAACGGTTCCATCCCCGCCGCAAGCAAGAACTCGTAGATTAGGTACTTTCTTGAACAGTTCGAGACCCATTTTGGGCCCGCCCTGTGTCAAGTCAAAGACCTGTCGAGGATTCAACAACCACTGGAATTTCTGGAGCAACTTTGATCCTTGGTTGCCTCCAGATTTGGGATTGATAAACACTATAACTGGAGTTACGTTAGTCGAAGGGATGGGCTTGATGGCGAATGTTCTATGCTCTTTATCCTAAAAATAAAAAAAAATAATTTTATAATCTCTTATTGGTAAAAGAAAATTCTTTTAATCTTTTGTTATTTATTTCTATTTTCTTGCTCTATGAAAAGACTACGCATGATTTTATTCATGATTCAAATTAATCTCGCTAACAGTTGAAACAAGTTCATTTTGTATTTGATATGATATTAGTTGAGAAGATTTTCCTTTGAAACACATCTTTTCTAAAGTCGCTAAAGTTAAAATTTGGACGCTCGGTTGTAGTCTCCTTTTATTATTGAATTTTAAATCAGTCCTTTATGCATACTTTTTACAAAGCCGAAGTATGAATAAATTGGCAATTTAAACAAAATTGCAAAGAAAATTACAAATTTTACTTTTCCCAATAAACAAAATTTTAAACTAATTTAAAACTGTCAGGCATATTTAACAGAGTTCTTTAATTAAAGAGAGTGAAAAAGTTTTTTTAATTTCACCGCCAACGGATTGATTCCAAATCGTGGACACAAATTTATAAGTTTCTAACCATTTTGTATGATTTAACTTTTAAAATCTTTCTTCGTTACTAGAACATCCCCGATAATAACGATTACTGACAACTTCGTTATCGTTATCAAATTACCAAACTTTTGTTCAAAGATGTGTAGTCGTAGATAGAGCTTATTCCATATCTGGTGGCGAACTGACAGTTACTTTTCTCTAAAAATTGAAGACATGTGTTGTTAGGAATATCATTTTTGAAAATTCTTTTCATGCGTTAACAATTTAATAATTTGTTCATCATTCTTCATCTTATGTATAAGTACCTACTTATTATATTTTTTTAAAGAATAACAATGGTTTTGAAATATTATTTCGTATGAACAATATTTTTTTTTTATAGTAAAGTTCGCCACCAGATTAGGAACATACTTATATCCCGTATCAATAAAATCTGGGGCCGAGGCTGACGTTGACAGTGTAAAACACATTTAAATAAAAAGTATCAATTAATTATTATTGTTAATTTGTGCTTAAAAATGTAAAACTGAAGTAGAAGTAATTTAAGAAGAAACAAATTAATTAGACGTATATACCTATAATTAAATGCAAACGTTTTAATTATTGTAACTATAACTGATGAACACTTGATAAAGAATTTAAAATTTTATTTTCAGAACAAAGACTGAATTAAACGAAAATCTAGAATATGTAATTCCGTAAAGAACAAAGAATTTCTTAGTTATAATTTAGTTACTTTTTATAGGTATGTTTTAGCTCTTACACAGGGTGATTCAAAACTCGCGCCCCAGAAAAAAAAATTTAAGTAAGATAAGGAACATGGAAAAAATGTTTAAAAAATTCTTTTTGTCAATTTTTTTTATGTTTCTATGGTAATCATGTTAAATACTACATTCAGGTTGGTTCTTTCAAAGGGTTAAGCAATTTTCGTAAAAATCTAATTTAAAAGATTTCCATTTACTTTGAATATAAGCCTGTGGAGCAAGTTAAGAAATCAAAAAGCTGAAAAAGCTGAAAGTTTTCATTGTTAAGTCTCAGTGAACTAACTGACTACCTCGAAATGTCTTTAGTATCAAGTAAGTTGCAAAGAATAAATTATATAAAACTACCTTAAAACTGAGTTTGGAACATGAATACTCGAAAATATCGTGAAAACTAAATAATGTAGACCAACCCCATCGCTCTCAGGCGATTTACAAAGTCGGATCATGTATATTAAGAAGAACATAATTTCTCGTTAAACCCTACTTTGTTTCAGAATATTATGCATGCCACGTTGTGTTCCTCAAAACTAGGATTACATAGCGTTTAAGTTTCTTTTCTGCTCGTATTTTGAAAGCGAAACAACTTCATGCTAGTAGCGACATTTCGTCCTAATAAAATCGAATAACCTACTAGCAAAGGAATAGCATACACCACAACAAAGTGACAAAACCTTTGATGTAGTTGAAATGAAATTGCAAGACAAAAGCTAGACAACGCAATGTTACTAGATGTTGTTATAATTCGTGGGGTTTTCCTGCGGTTTTACCTAATTCAGGATATTGTACGCGACGGCTAAACAGCCTAAAATCGGGTTTATTTTACATAACGCCGATAATTTCACGTTCAAGCTTGAATATAATTCGACATGTTTTGGTTTATTTAACAGGGTTGTGGAAATCGACATCAACTTACCTTTTCCTTAGTTTTTTTCTTGCTGGAAGCCCTTTTCTTGGGAGATTTTCTCAGACTTGATTTGAAACTTCCTTTACGGGGCAGTTTCACTATCCACGACGGAGGAACCACAATACTGCGATGTACACCTGTAACAATTAATCATTTTCATAAATATTTGTTAGCAATTTTGCAAAAAAAACCAATCCAAAAACACCCAATTGAATTCCATACTAATGGAACGTGGTCCAATTCTCGCATGTATCACTCTGTGTGGTTTTAATTCAGTTAAATTATTTGTTTAACTTTGATTTGAAAATGACCATTGTTTTGAAAAGAAAAATCATTAAAACTGAACTAAAAAAAATATAAATACTAAACTTGAAACTTGTAATATGCAGATCTTTAGACTTTTCCGTTCAAAAACACCAGCCAAATTTTTTGTAACAATAAAAAATAATGGTATTTTAAAAGAAAAAAGATCTTGTAACCAACAGCTTTGAATTTTACGAAATTAATTAATTGTTTTATGAAACAATAAATCAATTACTTTGTGGGCGTTTTTCTCATGAAGCGGTACAAAAATCTGTTTGTTGATCGTACGACACACAAAAACTAGTTCATCAAAGCAAACCGCGCACTTTTCGTGGGAGATATTGATTATTTGTGTGAATGAACAGAACGAAAGGTTCTGATTACATCTGGTCAATAATTAGCCAACTGTTGAAAGAAAATTGTTTGAGAACTGTAGCTATTTTTAGAAATATGAATGATTGTGACCTGAAATTGTGCATAGAAAAATAATTCAGTTATTAGACTTCTGATGTAGCTTTTTTCTTTGTAAAATAAAATGACTAAATAAACTGAAACAAACTGATTTATATTTTGTAAGCTGTTGTAGTGTGACATTGGTACAATAATTTAACTTGGGATACAATTGGAACTCCAATTAGTATAATTAAATCATAATATTTTTGTGGTTTGTCTGTAAATACAAAGCAATATTGCATGAATAAAATTGCAGTGTAACATACGAATAATATCTACATACATTTCGATACACTGTAAAATTAAAGCGGTAACACGTTAGTACTGTCTAGTCTGCAATTTTGTTCGAACTGTTTATTTAAACGAATTTATTCACCTCGTTAATGATCGAATTTCTCTGTTTATTCTGGAAGATGGGTTATTTGAATTAACAAATTACGTGGAAATTGAAACCATTGCATATTTTTATTATAGATACAAGGCTTTCATTTCAAAAGGAGGCAGTCTCAATAACTTTTGTATTGAGTAAATTAATTTTTAACCAAAAACAGGTCGATTAGGATCGCGAGGGGAAAGTTCAAAACGAACATTAGTTACATTTTAAGTTTCATCCCCTAGTCGCTAGCCACCCCTACTTTAAAATTTTAAATGGCACCCCCTACTTTTTAAAACGTTTTCGGAAAGCAGTAAAATGAGGGTATCTAAATGTGAAGGAATTTTTTTTTGTCGATTCGTTTTTCAGTTACAGTTCAGTTACATTTTTGAAATTTTTAGTCCGAGTAGCCTTTGATTCAATTCAATTTAATTCAAATAAAAAATATGTCAAAACCAACATAAAATACGTTTTAGGTTTATCCTCTAATCACTATAACCACCCTTACTTTCAAATTTTAAAAAGTACTTTCAACTTTTTGAAACATTTTTGAAAAGGGGGGAAAAAGCTTATCTAACCGTAAATGAAAAAAAAATATTTTGTCGATTCGTTTTTGAGTTAGGGGTAGTTTTATTTTTGAAATGTTTAGTCCTAGTAGCCTCTGATTTAAGTTAAATAAAAAATATGTCAATTCGGGTTGCGATGAGAGACTTCAACATAAAATACTTTTTAGGTTCCATCTCCTAGTCGCTAGCCACCTGCACGCCCCCACTTTTTAAAAAGAAATATAACTCAAAAACGAATCGACAAAATATTTTTTTATTTACGGTTAAATAAGCTTCTTCCCCCCTTTCCAAAAATGTTTCAAAAAGTTGGGAGTGTTTTTAAAAATTTTAAAGTAAGAGTGGTTAGTGAGGATGAAACCTAAAATTTGTTTTGTGGGTTTTGAACTCTCTCATCGCAACCCAAATCAACATATTTTTTATTTAAATTAAATTGAGTTGAATCAAAGGCTACTAGGACTGAGAATTTCAAAAATTAAACCATCCCTAATTGAAAAACGAATCGACAATTTTTTTTCCTTTGACCATTAGATACGCTCACTTTTCCTTTTCCGAAAATGTTTCAAAAAGTAGGAAGTGCCATTTAAAATTTTAAAGTAAAGGTGGCTAGCGACTAGAGGATGAAACTTAAAATGTAACTAATGTTGGTTTTGAACTTGATCCTAATCGACCTGTTTTTGCTAGAAAATACATTTACTCAATGTCAAAAGTTATTGAGATTGGCTCCTTTTGACATAAAAGCCCTGTATACTTTTCATTGCTCACGTTGGTGAGCTAATTTGGTTATGGCAAAGGTTCCGTGAATAGTAATTTAGGTCCACTAGTAAGAATTTCAGTAAGAGCCTCGAGAGAAACAATTGTTGAGGGAAGTTTATAACAATGTCATAGAATTACGGTTTCGTCATTAATCACATCACTGTTTAAGACTTCCGTGCATACCATAACAAACACTAATGAGGAGTTAAATAAATTTCCATCAAACTTTTCGACGAATTATTGACAGGAAAAGGAAATTAGAAAAGTTAGGAAAACTCACCTAAGTTACACTCCTCTCCTATTCGTTGCATATTAAAGCAGGTGTCCTTATTGTGATAAGCAGCCTTACACCACGAACAACTAATTGCGACTATTTCTTTGGAACTAAACGATAATTTCGACTGGAATGACTGCAACAATATTTTAGATTCACAATTTTTGAAGTGTTTCAGGCACGCAACGATTACTTTCGTGGAACCTTTTCAAGGTTCATTTCTGTTTGTTCATCTGGGGTTTTATAACTTCATCCATTTTCCTTATTTGACATAAAGTGTATATTAGTTGCGTAAAAATGGGAACAGGAAATGAAATATTTAAGGGCGTGCCTAGTTCTTTTATTATTTATACATCGTTCTTTGAGAGTCGTCGTTGCGTCCCAATCAAACAATAATTTAATCGGTCTATTTCGACAGAAAAAATGAGCGCATTTATTTATCGCTCCTTTCTCGGTAGTTGAAAAATTAACACTTTATTCGGAGATAATGCCAACAGCTCGGGTAATTTGAGGCGAGAACAAGCGTCGGTCGGTCCAATCTCGTTTTCCAAGATAAATAATTTGCGGTGCTGTGTGTTTTTCTTGGGACAAGACCGAGTAAATTAGAGCAATCTAGTTCGTCCTAAATAATAACACACGATCTGACCCTACTTCCTCCTCACCTTGCCGCATTGTCGACATTTACCCTTCTCTGACCGTCGGTGGACCCAATGGTGATGGATGGAGGTCTGTTCTCTGTACTGTCTTACTCCCACGTCACGGAACGTAGGCTTGCATGTAAATCGCATCTTATCCATCAAGATCCCTATGCAATTTTGGTGGGCGACCACGTTACAAGCAGAACACTTCATCCGGGCTCCGTGTTTCTGAAAAATTGCAAAAGAAATGAACACTCAGATTTCAAGAATAGCGCCATAAATTGTGGACAAGGGTTTGATCAAAATATGGCCAGACGAGATGAATTTATAGCAGTTTTATAGGACAGGAAATTTATCAAGGGACAAGGGCCTATCTGGTGTGCAGTTAAAATTTAAAAAACGACTTTCATTTCATTGTTGCTTCTTGACAGAAAACTTTTACACAGAATATGAGTTGTTGGCAAAATAATAATTTTATTTTTTTTAAAACATTACATTAAAATGTTATAGTTGTTTTTAAAATTATTATTTTTTGTTAAAACAAAAACCTATTGTGAGAAACTCCTCCAACTCTAGCTCAATATAAGCAGCACCTAGACAAGCGTCAAGAAAACATCCCAACACATGAAATTATATATATGTTCGGTACAAATCGCCCGGCTGTTAACACCTAAACTTACTTCTTTTTTTCAAAAAGTAAATATTTAAGTAATAATATTCATTCTTAGCTTTCTTAATAAATGTATCATTTTTTTTAGGTAACCGAATTTAGTTTTTCAAATGGAACACCTATGTTTTTTTCCTCTAAACAATAATAATTGACATGAAAAATACTGTAAACCACTATTTATTACATTTTGCGTAACACAATGCAATCAAAAAACATCTTAAATCTTAGAATTTTATAAGGAATTTGGTCGCGTAGCCCGATTTTTAATTTTAAAGGAAACGCGTGAATAAAAAAATGCTTGGATATAGTAAAATTATTGATGAGCGAGTTTTCTTGGATTTTCTTCAACTGATAACAGAACATTCAGATTTCTATTTTCTTGTTCTTCACAAAGAACCACAGGTTTTTTATTTTTAAGAAGCGAACCTATTCGTCTGTTGTTTTTCAATTCGACTAAATTTCCAACGATTTGGGTGAACTCTATTTGAGTATTGTTCTCTATACTGTCTTTCAGCTTCCGCTCTATTTTTATTGCACTTAAAAAACACTTCAAGCTGATCTACCAATTCGTCGTAATTAATATCATTCATTATTAAAAATCTCAATAAGATTTATTAACAAATTAGGCTTTGCCAAACTAACAATTAAACAGTATCCAAGCATATTGCTTTTTGCATGAATACCTTGACAAGTAAAATCTACCTACGTTGCAAAGTTTGCAATAAAATTCAAAAATTTAAATCGTTTTCTGAGTGCATTATGTAAAGTAAAATGTAATAAATAGTGGTTTAACGTATTTTTCATACCAATTATTATTGTTTTGAGCAAAAAAACATAGGTGTTAAATTTGAAAAACTAAATTTGGTAGCATTTTCGGCTACACCGGATGTGCCAAAAAAATTTGATGCTTTACTAAGAAAGCGAGGAATGAATAGTATTATTTAAAAAATTAGTTTTTGAAAAAAAAGCAAGTTTAGGTGTTATCGGCCGGAGCGACTTGGACCGAACACCCTGTATATGAGCTCCAAGAATACATAAAATCACAATTGCTGAAATCAAAAGCACTGTGTGTATCTATCGGCTTTTCCAAACATCCGCAAAATATCAATCAGTAACTTGAAAGATCAACGCGTTAATTTTTTTAGCATTCAATCAATAAGATCAAAATTAGTCGAACTTGAAATAATGCTGGATGAGGACAACTACTCTTTTGTGGGAATTAGCAAACATTGGTCAAAGTCAAATGAAGCTGAATACGAATATCTATATACAAGTTAATAATGTAGCTTCTCAATCTTACTTTTCGCAAACAACATCGAAATATGGAAATGCTCCATGCTTTCACCTAGTCCGTAAAACATTTTTCAATAGAAAATAATATAAAATAAATATTGTAATAAGCTATTTATATTTTTCAATACAGATAGATTTATTAGAGATTTTTAGAAGTTTCAATTAATGTTTTATACTTGAATACCTGGGTATCGGAATAGAACAACATTTGTCAGCTGTTTTTGGAAACTTTTTTGCTGGCATTTTATTTTGTATATTTTTTAAAACAATTGGCAATTTTTACAATTCAACATGTAAATATTTATTTAGAATTGTTTTTTCCTAGTACAGATACAACCTGAATAAATAATAGACAAATAATATTACGCTGAATAACAGATATGAAACTCAAACAAGAATAAACAGAGCAATCCATGACGTAAAAAAATGTTGACCAAAAAGTATAAAATATACGTCACTTATTATTTGCTTTGAACAGTGAAATGAGTTATCCAGTTTGAAAAATAAATACATAAACATTATTAAACAAATACTGACAGAACTGGGATTAGATGGGTTTATTTTATGTCAAACAAGAATTTTTAATTATTATAAAAAACTACTTTCATTTACCAAACTCAAACTGAAAAAAAAACGTCTGAAGTTTTATACAAGTTTTTTCTTATCTGAGTTAAGAAAGCGAGTAACAAAGGCTTCACTTAATAGAAACATTACTTTGATATTGTTTGACTGTTGTAATATAACAATTTAATCCTCTTTTTACTGCTGTGATAAGAAAGATTGTATAAAAGATAAATGTGCCTACAATATACAAAATTTAATATTTAAGTACACTTTTAAATCTCAGCTTTGACAAAATAATAAAACCTTATACGACCTTTTGTCATAAGACAAAAGTCTTTATTATTTTCTATAGAGTCGTTTCACCATTTGGTAAGTTGTAGCCACAGGGAGCCGTCGTCAGAACAAGAATTAACTCTCATAATTTAAAAACACAATATCTGTGTCTCATTTCCTAGATATGTCAGTTGGCCCAAATGTTCATTCATATTTTTGCAAGATAATAAAAGCTGTTAATTCAAAAAGCTTCACATAAGCTCAAAACAAATATGTTTCATCATTTCGATCTGAGTTATGTTGCCGCTAAGCCTCGGAAAATTATTAAAGCGAAACAATATTTGCGCCAGCTTGCATCTTCCATAAAACTGTCTTCGTATCAAATTATTTTCTTTTTTTCGCTCCAAATTAAAGCTGAAAGACACAATACACCTGATAAGACCGCAACTGATATTTTCTTCTGTATTGTCTGAAATTTGCAATCATCGATTTCTATTTGATGTAAAAGCGGAAGAACAAAGCACGTCAAGTGAGGAAAATGACGGTATTGTCCTTTCGTATGTTAGGTATACCTTTTATAATCAAAAATAATAATAAAAAATTGTATACACTCCTCAATGATCATAAACTTAGATGTATTACTTTTTAGAACAGAGTATTTTTAGCTTTCTTAGCAACACCCCAGATAAACAAGTATAAAAAATAGGTTTGTAAGTTTCCTGCTACTATTTTAGAAACACGGAAAAGTGTAATATAACATCAGTCTTTTATTTGTTTTCACATCACTAAGGGCAGATAATGGAGTTTACAAAACCTAAAACCAATGTTTTCTTTTTCTTATTAAAATATTTCCTTTTAAAACGTATACTTAATACTATCTGTTACATCCATTCAGTATAAAAAGTTCATAGAAAGTCTTGTTAAAAAAAAACGATTCTAAATTGTTATTCTAGAACGTTTGCACGTTTTCTATATTACCCCAATTTAAAGTCGTTAATAAAGCTTTTATCTATTTCCATAATCTCATTTAAATATTTGCATTATTTAACTTGAAATTTACACACTACTGACCCGAGAATATTTAAGCACGAAAATGACCCATTACTTCATGGAGTAAAACATCACAAAGTTGCTTTATTATTTACGTATTCAATTAGATTCGGGCAAACTTCTGGGTTCAATTTAATATATACGTTACCAACATTTTACATAAGTTCTTACCGTGCAATCTATATCTCCGATGTAGCAAAAATCGCCTGAGACCGATGTGGGAACCCATAAATGATCACCATTGATTGCAGTCTCGCCCCAATCCGGAGTACTCCGGAGGATTCTTTCTCCAACATCGCCGACAACTTTTCTGTAATAAATCGATAGATAAAGTAACCGAAGTGTGGTTTTCGACTAAACAGCAAAATTAGAATGGAAATGAATTCATTGATCAAGATATATAAATTTTGCATTTACACAAATAAGCGCACATAACAGAAGCTTCAAAGCAATTAGGTGTTTGCTTGGTAAATTTGCCGTACAAATAAGTACTTTATAACTATAAATTATGCCATCACAGATGCTAACCGCAACGCTCCGTATCTTGAAATTATGAAGCTTTATCGTTCTCTATAAAAATTATATTGTTTTACATAAACATAAATTTGGTGCTTTGTTCACGTACAAATTGGAAAATACAGATGTTCTTCTTCAGAATAATCTAAATAAGAAAAAGTTAAAATGTTTGTGCTTTATGGAGATTATATGGTGATAATGATAATCTCGTAAATGGCTGAAGTATCATTATGGCTCATTAGCTTAAAGAGTATTTTGTGGTTGGATGATGGTGTGAGATATACTCGTAGCTTGTCAAACATCAATTACATTCGAAATCGATTCTCCTATGAATAAGCACGAAAATCCAATAATACAAAATTCAATCTTCGTATTTTTCGTTTAATACCTTCACACACCGACATAAATCATGATCAGTTCAATTGTTCAGAATTTTTAATAACACGTTGAAGATGCATTTTTTACAAAAAGTGTAATAATAAAGTCAGAAAGAAAAAAATGACTTATTTTAAAAATTCAAGCTACAGAGAACTTTCGATTAACGATGAGGCGACGCGTCATGGTTAATAAACCTTATACAAGCAAAAATGCAAATTCTCGCCGAATATTTTAATATTTATCCACTCCGAATTCAAATGGAAAGCAACACGACAAATTTTACATTTGTAACAAAATATATTCGCAAAAGTAGCCGAATCATTTATTTCATTGAACTAAGACTAAGACACGATTTTTAACTATATCGTACGTAAGTTAAAAAAAATCAATTAATTTTACATATTTTTAGTTTCCGTTTCGAACGTCTGTTGAAGTATTTCACAAATTTTCAGTATTAAATATTTCTGTCTTTACTCAATTAAAATGAAAATTCTCAGATGAGACAATAAAAAATTATCCTTTGTTCTAATATGTATACGTGTCCCAATCTCTTAAAACTTTATCAACGACTCCTTTACTTTTTCGCACTTTGTGATAAAATTCCGACGTGACATTCACGAAATTGTTAAACGGAATGTTGACAACAATCCTAAGTATAGGATTTTCTCATTTTCTGATCTTCAAATTTCCCAGTCTGGAAATGTCAAGGTGATTTTTTCCTTCAGGTGAAAACAAATATATTTTATAGAAATACTATAATCTTTTTTTTTAAGTATGAATACGCAAATACAATAGTTTGTGAACAAATATTAAGAATAAAACAGAGTGGTAAAACAAGCAAAATTTTTAAAACTTGCTAGTTTCTAAATGTTATTTGTGGTTATTTTCAAATCCCACTCGATAGTAAAACCTACAGATTGATTTGTGTTTTGTTACAGTAATTACCTGCAGTGATGCTATTCTTTCACAATTAATGTTGATATTTAAGACATTTTTATTGATATGGAGCCGTTCCAAAATGAAATTGCTATTGAGTCATTAAATTTTCTCAATTTTGTTTTAAGTAATAAAAGTAATCTTGTTTTTATAGTTTCCGGCTATAACTTAAAAATGAATTTCCGGATTTCAAACCGTCTGGCAAATCTCTTAAACCGTTTACTCACGAACTCTTGGTAAAAGTGTTATGCAGTTTTCACAAAAGGAACAAATCAGAAGTAGAATTTAATACTCGTTTCTCTGATCGATTTATAAACTGGATGAGTTAAATGTAGATATCCTTGACTTGTTTTCAGGTAGTTTCGCTACAACTTCTAAAAATAAAATTCAAAGCGAACTATTAGAACAAATTAAAAAAATAATTGTATGTGGGAGAATCGTAACATACAGAATAGGAAAGTTTAAACAGACAGAGGACCATAAATATGTCAGGAATGATAGACAACCTAAGTAAGGTGTTAGGCTTCAAGAGTACGCAGCAAAATAGATGATCCTCCTTAAATTCAAAACATTCACTCTTTTAAGATCAAAACGGATACATCGTCCTGCCTTGAATAAGTAATGGCTTTAGCAGGATCGGTTTAAAGCTTGAATTGGGCCTGTTATAGGATAAAATTGAAACAACTATTTACGTACATACATTTTCTTGGCAAATTAAATCCTCAGATTAATATAAATATTTTATGTTACACAATTATGCAAATAATCATCGCAGCATAAAATCATACTTTTTAAATAACTGCAAACGTTCCAAACTCACTTAGATGACTGAAAAATGTCCAATAAAATCTCTATAAATAATTAATATTTCCGTTTTCAATAATTCATCTATTTTCAGCAAAGTTACATACGTCATATAAATAAATATCCCCTTTATAAAATTAACAAACCGAAACTAAATATAAGCATGATTGAGTAATCCTAACTTATAACTGTCCTGTAATAATATTACTTTTCCCTACCACACTTACTCTTTTGTAATAATAAATTTTTCGAGAAGAATTAAGTTAAAACTCCAAACATAATTTGCACCTGGAACCTGAAATCAGCTAGAGCATAAGAAGAATCCGGCCTTTTAATAACGCCAAAACTAAAATAATTTACAGCGGCGTTTTTCAAGTAGGAAAGTGTAAAAAAGTACTTTCCGTGAATATTTTTACATTTATTTAATAAAAAGTATATTTCTCTTTTTACTTTTTACTTAATAAAATATCTAAAATATCTAAATAAAATTCTTTACTTATACATATGTATATACAATATTTAAATTGAATAATTCACGTTTTATTTCCACGCTAAAAGAATTGCTTTGTTTTGAAACCAATGCTTTTCGCTTCAATAATACGCCAATAATAATCTTCGGAACTGAGAGAGATAAAATTTGAATTTTATTTATCTTAGAAAAGCAGTTTAATTTAAATTTCTATTAGCACACAACATAAAAATATTTCCACAAAACTTAACTTCCAAACTTCAAAAAGTACAAACTTTTACGATAAGCTTTTACTCTCAACTTTAGTTTCGAAAATTTATCGTTTATCTCTACGGACGAATTGTTTTATATTACAAGGCTTAGGTCTTATGATAAATTTGCTACAGTATCACCAAAGGCAATTGCTTTATTTTTAGTCTAAACCGAACACTTTTAAACATGTTGTGCAAACTGTCGAAGACAGCTCTCAACTCTATTTGATATTTCCTGATACAAACAAGTGTCGCATGTTTGTGCGTGCCAATATTTTTCCAAGTTTACAAAAGATGCGCCAATATCAAAATAAATATACCGGCGTTGTCCTAAATCGATTTATGATAAGCGTTGGAGTGTAGTGTGAGGCCTAACACAGATAAAAGTAGGATGTAATCTCCCTAATACGATTTTAAGCAACCTCACAGAAAAGCCAAGACATCCAAATGCGATTAAAATGACAACAAAACAATTCATTATCCCTTTTTCTTTTAAATCAATTGTCCTTTATCTCTCGCTTTAGCAACAAGTTTATTTTCAGACCGCCAAATTACAAACACAAGTGGAAAGACAAAATTGAATTCATCCATACCCGCAATTTTCGTGTGAAACAGCAAGAGTGAAAAGCTGATGTACCTTTATAAACAGGCAAATATAAGGTTATTTGACTTCTTTTGAAATTTGGTACTTAACACACTTCATTCAGAAGCAGCGTTTTGACAGGTTTCCCAACTTTGCAGAGGAAATCATAAGTTAAGAAGAGAAGACGTTTTGAAATTACTGTTGATGTGGTGGTCCCTTTGTGCTTTTCCCGGGATCAAAACAATATTTTTACATGAAAAAATCGACGTTGTCATGTCAACTCACGTTGTTTCATTTGAAAAAGTAAAAGGACTTCATGAGGGAATAATAAAAAAACACATCAAAAATTCAAATATTCATTTAGTTTTTTTACAATGAAACAAATTTAATTTAAAGTTTGATCAAAATATTAATTTATTAAAGGTGCTAGCTGAGTAACAAACAAATTTCTTGTTTTCAGAAAGTAACAAAAATTAAGTTTTATATAATTTATTCAAATTGAATGTTTCGAATGAATGTTTTATTAAACGTAGTTCATTCGCCCTCAAATTTGTTATTATTGTGATGATTTATTGTTTACTTGACCTGAAATTTTATTTTTTTAATCAAAATCAAATAAAAAAGCTTTCTAGGCAAAAGATAATAGCATTGTTTTATCTGTGATATTTCCGGTACAAAATGAGATAAAACCCCACCTGTGCCTCCTGTAATTTTTGTGATACACAGATCTTCGCCTAAGTAATTGTCTTTTCCTTGCAACTGTCGTCATAGGACATGCTGTAAACACCATCAGTAAACGACACCCATTGAAACAGCACTAGAAACTACATCACAATTCGAGCAACACGCGACGTTGTGTCAAATTAGAAGCGTTTGTAGATACTAATGAATGTTTGCTGATTAATACCCCACTAAAATGTTAACACATATCGGAACGAATCACTAGGATAGGACCGCGTCAAAATGCGCTCTTATCTCTACGCGTGTTTTCCTTAAAGTTGTATTTTCAGCTTTGCGATTGACGTTGGTAGTTTCAGTGAAGTCTGCTCGATCTGTTTTAACGCCTTCCATACGTTTCTTGTATATATAGAGTAACTTATTTCCAGTGTTGTCTAATATTAGCAATGTGTTTGCCTTTTCCATAAATACAAGGAATCATTGTTTATGGTCTAGATGAAAACGTAACGCACTTTAATCATATCTTTTCCAAACATATGGAATTAATTTCGTTGAATGAAGGTCAAACCAAATGTAACCATCCTCGAATTAAAAAGATCAGAAGTAACATGGGAGTAATTATCATGCAAACAGGTACAGACGATCGAAACTAATTTGTATTTTTAAACAAAGTTTCTAATGAACAGAAAGAATGA